GTACGTGCTAGAGATGTCAACGTTTTGTTTTTTCTAGATTTTAGCTTTCGTTACGATAGTGTTCATCAAAAGTATAAACGTTTGAAACGTTACGTTTGCACATTTTATGGCATAGAGTAACGTTACGTAATGAATTTTCTGCACTTGAATACCTTATACTGAACGTTAAGCTTTAGTAAATGTTAGTGAAAAAAAGTAAGCTCTGTTACGCTTTTGCATTTCCTGTTTTGAAAAACTTTCCCAACGTTGCGTTTAAGCTTTAGTAATGTAACCACAAATTGTTTAACGTTCAACTTTCATGCAAGGTAAATGTTCCAATGAATTTCATTGCAAAGAATATTTTTTGTTAACGTTACGTTTTATCTTAATTAACTTTTCCATTATAAACCATTTTAATTACGTTTAGAAATTTTACAAAAATGCAACTTTTCATACGTTACAATTTCTCGAAACGTTATTGTGATAACTTCTTTTGTTACACTATTTTACATCTGGCAATCAAAACTGTTTATTCGTTTCGTTTCTAAGAAAGATATAAAAAAATGTTGTATACGTTGCGTGGTATTAAGATGTTCAGGCTTTAATGTTTCTTACGTTACGCTTCATTGAAATAGTATTGTTTCTAAATGAAAGCATTACAAGATTTTATCCGTGATAATTGTATTCCTACTTTCGTATTTTTCATCCTAAAACATGTACCATGCGAAACAAATTAGCGTCGTTAATCCCTTTTTGGTTCACCCTTTATGTTGGCTCTTTAAATGGAGGATCACTTGAAATTATCATTGTGTATTTGACAAGCTTAAAAAAAGACATATCTTGGGACACTTCATAAAATGAGTTTAAATTCGGCAAGGCAATCAACTTTTGCATGCAAAACATTATAGTTCTAAATTATTTTACGTTAATTTAGTAATATTTTTTCTATTTGTTCTCAATGCAATGCAAATAGACCCTCCTTGGATTTTCTTCTATCTAACAGAATTCATAGTTTAGTATATCTAAGATCTACAACATTGGGTAGGGTAGATATAGGGATTAGAAATATAAGTTTGTAAAAAAAAATCCCCTCCAGGTTTAGAACGGTATTATGGACTTTTTTCTTTATTATTATTCTTGACTTTGTGCTTTCATGCGCTAATAGCAGGGGGCGGACACGTCATGTGTGTGTGTGTCTGTACCAAAAGAGTGTGTGTAAGTAATACCGAACTGAAAGTGTGTACTGTAGGTATTTACAGTACATGAGAATCTCGGTATTTGTACAGTCTAAGAGAGTACATTTGTTTATTGCTACTTGTTTACTTAAAAATAAGTTTAATATACATGGAATATATTATTTACATATTTAAGTCATCACTGTAAAGCCAAATTTTCATGCAAAGAATAAAATTTGATGAACGTTTACAATAAACTACTCGTTATTCAAGCTTACAATAAACTACTCGTTATTCAAGTTTACAATAAACTACTCGTTATTCAAGTTACAATAAACTACTCGTTATTCAAGTTTACAATAAACTACTCGTTATTCAAGCTTATTTATTATTGACAAGATTGTTCTACAATTTCCTTGACTGTTATAGTCATGGTGTGTGTCTGTATCAAAAGAGTGTGCGTGTGTGATACCGAACTCGTCTGCAAAGCAGTGTGACTGGCTTTCTCATGCGATGCCAGCGCCATTTCCCTTCCCTTTTTTCCTATTCCCCGGCTAATAGATAGAGAAACGCAGTTTAGTGTTTACGAGGACGACATTTACAAATGAGCTTGAATGCGAAAGTTTTCTCTTTTTCACAAAATTTTGCTCTTTTCTTTTTTGCGAAAGAATGCAAAAAAATTACAAATAAAACAATTGTGAATTTTATTGGGGGAAAAATGTGAAATTTTTGCAAATGAAGTACGGAAGAGAAATTATTAATCAAAGCAGAGAATTTTTTGCGCAATTAATTGTTCAGCTGAGGTTTTTCATTTTTGCGATAAAATGCAAAATTTCGTGAAAAAGTTTGCAAAATACGGAAAATAGTTTTCGCATTTTCAGTGAAAGTTTTTGCTTGATACCCTACATACAGTTGGTATAGCCGATTGTTTAGGAGATAAAAATCAATTTAATTTAACAAAAGTTCTCACCACATTCTCAACATTTTCTATAAAGATGTGAATTATGGTGATCATGAACACACTGAAACAAAATATATTATTATTACTCAAAACTTGTCAAATGATTTGAAGCTTTTCGAAAACAATAAAAAAAGTAAAAATGATCTTTTTTTGTCAAAAAAAAAGTTAAACTGGGTTTCTGTTTTGAAATTAGGCATTTGATCTTTTCCCAATTTTACTATTTCGAATATATACATTTCCAATTGATATTTAATTGTTATGTGTACGCCAAAGTGTGTATGTAAAAGTTTATCCAGAGATTTGCAGATTTTGTAACACAATATTTGATAAATCCTTGTGTAGAAGCAATAGTTTTTGTCAAACTTATCTCTAATTCGCTTTTATTTTACATATATTTCATTTTAAAAGAAAAGAAAGTATCCAAGGTTTTTTTCTACAAAAAGTGAAAAGTTAACATACCTGGCAATAAACCACACAAACCAGATATCAATCATAATCAGCCCAGATGTTGGAGGCACGTTTTCCTACCAAACAAGGTTATTTAATAAGCCTACTCTCGATGTGCTCCAACCAATGTACCGGAAAAGTCGTCTTCATAGCAATGGACGTAACTCACATGACGTTTGAATAAAAATATGAAATATGAAAAATGTAAAAATCTTGTTAAAAAAACATAAGCAAACTATGCCGATTAAATCCCCCCCTCAAAAAATTGCATGATCCTTGCCGGTACAACACATACTGTGTTTAGATTTGCAGTCGTACTGTCCAGTCAGGCTACCTGGGGTAGAGTCGACCCAGCACGTTTCATGCAACAAATGTAGTCTGCAGTAAGATCACGGTAATATCATTTAAGGATTTAGAGGGATCTGGTGTAAATTTACTTCTTACTCTTAAACAGTCCAGATTAGAGCTTGATGCAAAGCTTTTTTCGAGCCATTTCTTTACTATTTGATGAATTAACTAAACTGAGGGCAAATTTAAAACTCGTCGCTGAACAGCTAAAAACCGGTTCCAATTGACCGCCGGCTTCAATCTCGAAACACGTAATGCAAGTATAAGTGGAACCGCGTCTCAAATTTGAGAAATTTTTTATTCGGCCTCAGATAAGTTTATATGAAGCAGTTATTCGTTCATAGAGTTGCTGTTTGTTACCGATCTCGGATTTTTAATGACATTTATAACGTATAGATATTACAAAATTTGAGTTTACCGCTTTACGTTTAACTTCCATCTAATAATGAAAGGTTTTGTGGTTAAGATTTCCGAAAATATAGAAGTTGTAATTCAAATAGCATTATTACGCATCAAAAAAGTTCTTTGGAAATGTCCTACATGCAATTTAATCAAAAAAATTGTTTAAAACATTCGAAATAACTGCTCATTTTGGTCATTAGGGTTTGATTTCGTTTGTTAACGACATGCCAATTATCTATTTTTACTGCATTTGTATAATGGATTTTTTTCATTAAATTTTCAGAAACTGCTGTTCAATAATGAAACGCTGTCCAGCTCAAATCCAGATTTTTTAATGAATGGATATAATCCAACTACTCATATCCTTGCATTCTATCATTAGTGATGTGTGCCTTAAAGGGAGTGACCGGCAATGTATGGTGGTTGAACTGAATATGTAGTATTGTGTACAAATTTTTTAGAATTCATTTGAGACTTATAAAACGTTTCTACAACGTATATTTACTGAGTTTGATTGCAAAGTCGACTTTCAAAACATCTTTTTAGAATCGTTTTTTTAAATTATTAAATAACAACGACAAAAAATGTCCAAAAAATTCTACCGTAAACTAAATAGTTGAAAAGATATAGAACAGGTTGAAATTAATAGGAGCAACACTTTTGGATTTCGCCTCATTTCTTAAAAGTTTGTTTCATTCAATTTAGAATCTAAATGTATGAAGACGACAATTTTCTCTGCTTAATCAAAACTAGTTGTTGTGATTTGCGCGTGCTTGAAAATAATGCCGCACATTAATTCTTTCCAAAAAAATACACGGAGTTTCAAAAACTTTGAATGACCAAAATAAATTTAAAATGAATATATTAAATTAACTTTGAGGATAAGAGTTAATTTTTATTTTCTCAACAGCTGTTCCTAAAATCCTAAAAAAATTGACACAATACTGCATATTCATTGCTGGTCACTCCCTTTAGGTTAATTAGATTTTTTCTGGGTCGTCAAATCTTGCGCATAGTAAAAGAGCGAATGTTTTTAGAATTGCTTTTCTTACATTATGTCAAAGTTTGACCCAGACCGAAGATTATGCAAAAAATGATCAAAGAAAGATCCAAAAACAATGTAAAAACTAATGTTTTGCAATGTTTATACATTTGAAAGATATTGCGAAGTTTAATAAAAGCAAACTTTAACATGATACAGTTTTGATATTTTGAAAGTTTTTTTATTTTTATTGTGTACTTGACTAAACAAAGCTTTTAAGGATAACTCCGCGGGTATTGCCAACTTTGTATGGAGGGTGACTAAAACTCAATTATAGTTAGGGATGTGCACTTCCCAGATTCGTTTTATAGACTTTTAAAAGGTTTTACGAGAATATGAGAAGGTACCAACTTTTTAAAACTTATTCTGCAGAAGTCTGCTTTTATCAAACATGCATATTTGTTACGCTTGAAGAAAATATAAGGCAAAAATTATCATATTTGAGGTTTTAAAACGAATTTTTTTTTGGTTGATTTTTGCCTTTTTTTTCACCTATGACAACAAATTTGAATGTTTGATTAAAGTAAACTTCTATAAAATACAATTTTACATCGTGCGTTGGACTCTTCTCATATTGTCGTTAAACCTTTTATAAGTCTAAAATATTAAAAGTTTCTGTAAGACTAATCTAGCTTTAAAAGTCCCTTTAAAAACTAACCTTGATAAAGAAGGACAGGAAAGCCAGTATCCAGAGTATAAAGGTTTGAAGGAAAATTGAGAGGATGAGCTGTGAGTATAATCTAATCAAATCTATTCTGATGTGGAACAAGCTTTTTCTACCCTTCATCCCAGTATACCAACTAGAATATGATTGATTAGATATCAGTATACCAGCTAGAGTATTATTGATTAGAGATCAGTATACCAGCTAGAATATGATTGATTAGAGATCAGTATACCAGCTAGAGTATTATTAATAAATAAATTGATTTTTTCAAAGTCATTCTCTGAGTCCTGGAAATTTCTGTTTTTAAGCTCTAAAGAGTTTAGGAGAGAGTTTTGGGAGAGAGTTTTGGGAACTTTTTCAAATTCTTTTGTAAAATATTTATTTCTATATTATAGAAATTTTAAAATTTGTTATTTCCTCTGAGAGAAGAGTATTGACTATGTATGGAAAATGGTAAAAATGTTATTTTAGAATGATTGGTTGACCTTATATCACCCAGGTTGAATAGTTTCAGATTGCGTGGGCCGTTGTACTCAACAGGTAAGGTATTCTCAGAGGGTACCAGCCTTATGCTGTTGTTCCCACCTTGTGTTCTAAACATGTAAAGTCAATCATTCAACTTCCTTATAGTAAAATCTAATAATAGTTCAAAAAATTTAACAATATTTTAGAATTTAATGGGAGTGTTCGCGAATATGAAAGGAGGTATAATGGTTGACGTCGAAATAAATTCTATAATGATTGCAACTAATTTTACTTCTGTCTGTTTGGCTTATAAGGAGAAAATGGTTAAAAAAGACGTATACCAAAGAGCCATACAAATTCACAGTGTTACATTATTACACTCAAATCGTAAATAATACATTTAAATTTAAAAATTCTTATTCAGATATAACATCCTTAATATTTCATAATATTTGTTATTCAACATTTGACTTTAGACTTTTTTTCACAACTGTTGCTGAATTTTTAAACATTCCCGGAAAATATAAAAATGTTGTCTTCATTACTTATTATTAAAAATCCTCGAAATTTCAGGAGTCAATTTATTCCAAAGTAACTCTTGGAATTCAATCAGTTAACAAACAGCAACTTTAAGAAAAAATGGGAAAAACCTTTAGTTAAATGGAATGTTTAGTTTTTAAAAAATATGAAATTCTAAAAAATTAGTAATCCTAAATGAATTGTTTGCAAACGCTGTAACATCCCATGGCCCAGCACTTTGTACGACTCACAGTTTACCTTATGGAGATAACAGCCTCACAGCTTTGCCTATCAAATGGAAAGTTGAAAATATCCATTTCACAGAAGAATGTTGCCTTAAATAAATATTGTAAGGGGCTTCACTTTTGTTAGGCAAAATCATTTCATAAAGTTCTTATTGTAATCTCCAAGTATTACAAAAATGAATCTTAGATTGAATTTTCATAGTGACTTTTAATTATAATCATAAAACAATTCACAATGATTAATTTTTAACTATTAGAATAAGAATGCCAAAGAACTAAAAAGAAATGTGTAGGGCAATCACGTTGTTTTTGATGACCTGGAATTTTCTTTTTATGACCAGATAAGCATCTATTCCATTAAACTGTATTGACTCCATAGGGTCATCTCTTGATGGTGGTTTCGGCTGCGACATTGGGTTAGCTGTTACAGTAAAATCGTCATCAATCTCAGTCCTTCCCAGAAGTCCATTTTCAAATACAACATACTCTAGGGGAAGCCACATTTGTTCTCTTGCATTCTCTATTTTAATCAAAAATATATATTTCTTTGTTATCTTATCAATAAACTTAATACCTTCAAGCTCTGTCTCTGTCTCAATGCTATCAAGTATGATCCTGGGGTCCACCCATTGAATTCTTATTTCCACTGTGAAAGTTATGGTTAACTCCAAGGTGTCAATCTTGTCAAATTGAAGGATTTCCAGGCTAATGTTAAGGGGATTAAAATTATCAGACAACTCTGGTGGCAAGGCACTAATGTAAGTTTCATCAACTACTACCATGAGACAATTAAGCTCATCGGATTCATCGAAACACTCAATAGTTCCATTACATCGAGCAGAGAGCGGAACGCATTCTCCAGAGTCGCACGTAAAGTAGTCTGAAGCACTACAGGCTGATATGGTAAGCTGGGTCAAAATATTATCTCGACCGCATGTTGAATCATTTACTCTCCACATATTTCGTCCCAGAGGGTGAGCTGTAATAACAGATAAAAATGTTTAAACTGACTTATGTTTGGGACTTATTACCTCTTGGCTTCTTTTCACTTGTTAGAACACTATTTCCTTCACTTAGTACTGGATTACTAATTGACCATTGAGAACTGTTTCCATCTATTCTCCCTCCTTTATAGCCAACATAAGAGACACCTTAACAGAAATATGATTAAAAGGTTTTATAATGTTTAAATGTATACATATAAATGGAGGAGGAAAAATTGTATTCCTGTAGAAACGGATAAAAACTCAACTCAGATTTAATTATCGATGGTTAAGACTTATGCCAAAGAAATGGAAAATAGTATACCTTCATTGTTTGGTTCCAAATAATAGTTTAAAGTGTAAGTTGACTGTAAACATGTGCCTCTAAGCGTATACAATGGATCAGCTGTAAAAGCACATACAAAACACATCTTAAGCGAGATGCATTCCCTTAATGCAGCATAGTAATAACCATCAGTTCTTAGGAGAAAACATTTACTGATATCAGTAGGTGCTATCTTAAAATTAGTATAGCTAGGGGGTACTCCATCTTTCAAATTAATAATTTGACCACTTTCATTTTTGAGAATTCCAATCCATGACAGTACGCCTAAGATCATACTACAACTAGAATTGTTAGTTAATCATTTTTAAAAACGATTTAAAATCCATTAGTTTCAACTCAAATTGACCCCCCCAGCATATCCTGGTTTTCAAGTACCCCAGCAGAAATAGGGTTAATAAATGTTGGTTATAGATTTTACTATAGACTTTTACTCTCAATGTGAGATGGGATTCTAAAACCCCAGTCTTTCAATTTGTGCCCTTTTTAACACTCGGTGTTAGAAATGGGCCAATTGTAAGTTTTGGAACTCATGGCCCCTGAAATGAATCTAAGTTTTATGATAATTAATTTTAATGTTTTTCAGGAAAATAAGTTTATGAATGTTGTCCTAAATGTCTTCTTTTTAATTGAGAGAAATAACTTGAATATATTCTGATCTAAGGATTTTCCGACTAAAAAATGTATTCTCTCATTAAAAGATTGTTTTTTAATTAAAAAAACAATATTTTTTAAAAATAACCATAGGGCGGGGGGGTTCCAGGAACCCCCATCCCTCAGCCCGAATAGGGTTAAAAGTGAAAACGATCCATCCCTACTTACAGCATTATGATTTTTACAGATTTTTCTACTTGCCTTCTGTGTGTCCAATATTAGGGATTACACAACTGTTATACTTTTTAGCAAGCATGGCACCCAGTTGTTCATTCTTTTCTTCCGAGCTTGGAGCATACAGGTGAGCATCATGAATCTTGCAATAATCAATTGCTTCTGACAGCAACATTTTATCAGATACTAAAAACAATTTTTCCGAGGGTGCGCAAAAATCCTCGTATTGCATACTCTGAGCTGAGGTATTGTAAAATACAAGATTGCCAATCTCCCATTTTGCAATGTTTCCCTGGTGTCTTGTTTTACATTTGGCCATCTCTGAAACCATGTTAAAGGAAATTTTTGAATTCCAAACATTAAATTCTGATATTCGTCCTCGTAGAGTCTGTTTCGGATTAAAATCTCCAATCCATGAATCAGGTTCTTGACCAAGCATCATATCAAATGTAGTATCTCTGTATCCGTCCATAAAATCAAATGCTCCACTTGTTAGCTCAAACACAGACGATAGCTCAGCATTGACATATATCTTTCCTTTGTTGTCTGAATGTAACCAACAAATGTGATCCCACTTACGATGACCAATTTTACTGTAATTTGAAGGAAAAAAAATATTAGTATTTACATTCATTGACATGGTATACATTTTATTGTCTAAAAGGGAGTAAAAATAAAAGGGGTATAGGCTTACAGCAAAAGAATAATGATGGTGATTGCTTGTAATCTTATGTCTCTCTGTGGCGTCTGTAAGAAGAAATTTTTTTTAAACTACTCATACTGAAGAATGTATCGTCCATACAAGTTTAGAAAGTTGCATCATAGAACTCAGATCGTAAAAAAAAAAATTTGATTCAAAATAAATCATTTCAGATATTACAACCTGTAATCATCGATAATTTTTTGACCCATTTGTATATAGTGTAATTGAATCTATGAAAGACAGATGACTCAATCACTCGAAAGTAGTACTAATAGAGAAAGTTAAGGGAACTTTACATTACCAAGGGCTCCCAAGACCAATTTTGCCTATAAAAGCTACTACAGGGATAAAATGCTTTATTGAAATAACCCCAATTCAGGCTAAATGCCGCAAGCTTTCAAGATTAATTGATTAAAATTGCAAGAGATAGTTCAGTCACTAACATCACCAAACCTTATGGTTTAAGTGATTTGATTTATACATTAAAACTTGATCAATAACTTCAAAGGAAATTAGTTCCAAAACGCAATTTTGTCCATTTCTAAGTTTTGGAAATTAGCCAAATCTACAAACCTGGCATTGTCTTGTTAACAGTCAAGGGTGTTTTATATAAAAAGATCTCCTATATTATAATTTAAATTTAAGAAAATAATCCCAAAGCCAGAATTGTTGTCCTCATCATGCTTAGTAAGATTTTGTGTGTTAGTTTTTATTATCAACTTTTAACTCAATATGAACATACCAGGATCATTATAAAATCCATAAAAATGAGCCATACACCTGTTTGAAATTAATGTTCCCTGAACTTGAAATTCGTTAATTTTATGCTTTTGGAAGTATTTAATCAAGTATGAATTTTTTACCTTTTCATGTCCAGTTTGGTTTTGCCAAGATCTATACCAATATTAATATTCCTTCCATCATGTCCATTTTCAGTGTCAGCAAAGGAATTAATCCCAAAAGAAGGGTTGGATGGAACCTCTTCAGATGTTATATACAGGGTGGCATATGTACTTTATTTACATGTTCATTTTTTAATGAATAGCTTTGTTTAAAAATATTCACTGTTAAAATCATTCGGCATGAAATGTGTTAAGAAATCTACAAACTAATGAACAAAAAACATTTTATAGGTTTCAGGTCAAAAACTACATGGTGACACTGTAAAGACGACCTGAAACTCGGGTAAAGATAATTTCAATATTAAACTAGGTCTTAATTGCCTTGAATATCGTCATTTTATGGCTTCCCGTAATGATTTAGCAAAGAAAGAAACCAGTTTAATGTTTCAAGGAATCAAAAATATAATGAAATAGACAGATAGAATAACAAAGAACTTAACCAGGAAACATAATATTTTTTTAATTTCTCAGAATTTATCAGCTTTTATGACTGAATGATGAATCATGGATTGTTTGAAATAATTTCATGTAAATTTCCTCATCGCATCATTTTGAAACTTGCTGTATGCCCAAAAGCAGATTGAAAAGCTGGTCAAGTTTACTTGAGTCCACTCTACCAATGGTTTAACCACTGCTCGATCCGTTATACCTTGTTCTTCCTCCTGTACAGATATAAAAGGGACTGTAAGCGTAATTTCAATGGTTGATTACTTATTTAAAGAGTAACATGTCTGATTACCAACAGTACCATTTGAATCTTTCTATTTGTCCACTATAAAAACATCACATAGATCTAGTATGAAATGAAAAATTGAAAAAACGCATGAGGCATGTAGCAACTCTTTGCATGTTTGGTCTCTTAAACAGGTCAACATTCTCTTTTACTTTTCAACCATAGGGGCAAGGGATATTTTGAGATAGAGGCGGATTTTAAGGTTTTATATTTCTCGAATCATTTTCTGAGAGAAAAGGTTTTACAGAAAATGTCACATGCTTAAATTTTTGATCTTTTGTTACACAGATTACATCACAAGTTTTACAGTCTTCAGTATTTTCGGAATTTGTTTGTATTTTTTTATGTAAGAGGGGGGGGGGGTGTATTGTTTAAGAGCTGAGGACAGGCAGTCAATTATTTTAGAAGTAAAATTAGATGGCAACCTCTGTTTCACTGTGATCCAAAAGTTGCAAAAAAAATTGAAGAGAATTTTGCCGTCGCAAGCTTAGCGATGGGCAATAGCTAGATTCGGTTAACAGAAACTTTGATATTTTTAGACTTTCAAAAGTTTTACGACAATCTGAGAAGAGTCTTATGATTTTAAAATGTATTCTTTACTTTGATTCCTTTAATCTTGCCAATCTAAATTTGTTGCATAAAACGTCGACTCTATGCTAGGAAGGCTGACTGGACAGTACGACTGAATAGTACACAGTAAGTGTTGTACCGTCTCTTCATGCAACTTTCAGACTGGGGTGTGTAGAAGTTTGCTTTTATCAAATATGCAAATGTGTTATTCTAGGTGAAAATATAAGGCAAAAACGAACCAAAAACAATCGTTTTAAAATGATCGTTTTTGCCTTATATTTTCTTCTACAGTGACAAACTTGCATGTTTGATAAAAGCAAACTTTTAGACCTGTATCAATCCAGGTACAACTCAATCCAGGAACTCAAGGTTCACATGAATACCATAGCCAATATCAATCTGGATATGTCTTAGTCTGTATTCTCAGGTATCTGTCTTACAAGATACAACTCAATATAATACTCCAGGTATCTCCCGGGTCTGTAACTATTAATACCGAAACAACTGTCTTGCTGTGATATCGGCGAGGAATATGAACTAGTCAGGTCAACGATACTTTACTATCAATGCCAATCCAGACATGATTTTATCTGTACCAATACTTTACTTTCAATGTCAATCCGGACACAATTTTGTTTGTATCAATTCCCAATCTAGTTATATCTTTTAAGAGTGTGATTCAGGACGTTTCATGTAAGCAAACCAAGAGACGATTACACTCACACTGTAATCAAGCAGAGTCTTATACCAACTAAATGTATTTGGGGTTCTATATTACAAGTTAAAGTTAATCAACGTAATTACAAGTTTTATGTCATTATCTATACAACGTAATTAAGCTAATCATGGTACGCAGTTATTTACAGCACAGTTATTATAAATCTGATATGGGTTTTATTTAGCTTTTTACAAAGGTAGGTAATTAATAATGTAGAACATAGTTCAGGTTTACAGATATAGTGTATACAATATTTATCACATGCAGAATACATTTTAAATGTTGGAACCTTCTCATATTGCTGTTAAACCTTTTAAAAGTTTAAAAACGTTAAAAGTTTCCGTAAAACGAAACTGCCCATCCTTTCGCAAGCCCGCCCATGTATTGGTATTGTCTCTGATTCGAGTATAAATTACCATTTTATACAGAAATCAGTTTTTCAAACTAAAACAAAACATTTCTACAACTTAGAAACTTCTCTCAACAAAATTGCTTAAACGACTTTATTTAACATTAACAAAAGGTTTTTGGTGTAAACTCAATAAAATATATAAAGAATGTATCTGTAAAATACTAGTTTACCTGAATAGATATAAAGAATGTATCTGTAGCTATCAAGGGTTTGAATTGAATTAACAGTAAAGTCAGGGAAAAGATGAGATACTTCATTTTGGCATTCTCTAGGAAATTAACCTTAATTTTGATTAGATGATAAGCTAAAAATCGAGTGTCATATCATTTGGACGAATGATCAATTGGAATCACTTTTGTTAAACTAATCTAAATTAATTTTTCTCCCTCCCATTTCTATAAAAAAAACTATGCATGGTGTAATCTTATTATTTCAGGATTAGTCTGGGATATGAAAATTTCTGGACCGAGCACTGCAGCTCGGACAGACTTGGGGGGCTGAGCTAGAACAAATTGGGCAAGGGCGCGCTGCGGCCACAAATTTCTAAATTAATGATGCCCATGTGTTTTTAAATTAATTCATTAGAAAAATATTAATTTTTATTTTGTTTATATGAAATAAGGTTTAAATGGACTAGAAACCGGTTTGTTTTATTGTTTCTAAGCTTAATGAAGTAAAAAGCATTGAATAATGCCATGATTATATACAATAACTATATTAACACAGTTACATTTTAAACATGATCAGGGGGTAGAGATGGAATATTTCAGGGATCTCTCAATCCAAACCCGCGGACATATTCTTCCATGACCAACTCTTTCCATCCCTCGATTATGAGTATTACATATTAGAAAAATGCTGTCGTAACTTCAAAGTGTGAAATATAATCAATATGTCAAAGTTATCATTTTTCATAATACTCAGTAGTAACTGTTAATTTGATTTTTGCCCTAAGTGATCCATGCACATGTAATAGAAATATAGAAAATAGTCCAGGACTTGAAATTTTTAAGGTCTGAGACATTTGATTGCAAGGATATAGGGGGATTGAAAATATGAGTTTGTGGCAAAGGCTCCATTTGGCTCACAGAGCTGGATTTTTTCCCTTAAACTCACATGACCTCATGGGAAGGTTTACGGAGATATATAACATTAAAGAAAAAAAACAAATACCGACATTTACTATTTACAAAAACGTCCCAATTTTTATATAAAATTTCGCGCAAAAAAGTTAAAAGCTTAAATGTTCTTAGGAAAGAGTATGCGAAACTCCAAAAAAAACTAGTTTTTAACATTTGCTTATTTCTGAGTAAATTTTTTAGATTCATTTAAACAGGCATGCTATGTTAAACTGCATAGTTAGTTAGGAAATTAGCTTTCTAGGCAAATCTCTGTTTATAAAATGTCACGGTAATGAATATGAACTAGGGATGGCAATATCAAGTCAAGAAAAATATTAATTGGATTTTCAAAACAATTTTCTGTTTTAGAATAAACATGACATTTTGCTTCACACTTTTTTGATAATAAAAATCATTGAAATCTCTAACTCAAGGTTCCTCAATATGTAAAGTACAGATACAACTCAATCTTGAACTCAAGGTTCCTCAATATGTAAAGTACAGATACAGCTCAATCTCGAACTCAAGGTTCCTCAATAATACTACGTCGCTATAAGTTTTTCTCAATATGTATCGTAAAGATACAACTCAATCTCGAACTCAAGGTTCCTTAAAAATCTTGTTCAACTAATGTATTTTTTTTGGTTTTATGGTNCGTTAGACTCAATTCTACATGGGATTTAGAGGGGGGGTCAAATTGACCCCCCCCCAGCGTATCCTGGTTTTCAAGTACCCCAGCAGGGATAGGGTTAATAAGCGTAGTTAGGTTACATATAATATACAACGTAATATGAATATGGGGTTTACAACGATATTTATTAAAATGAGATAGGATTAAACCAATTGAGAGTAAAGTGGACTTTAAATTTTGATTAAATATATTCTTATAATCTATTATGTAAAAGGTTCCCAACAAGGAATTAATTACTCCCGTTAAGCTATCTCTATATATAAAGTTCTGATCGCTGTTTGTCTGTTTGTTTGTCTGATCATAACTCGGGAATCCATGGACCGATTTGCCTCAAATTTTGATTGGGGAACTCGAGAGAGTCACAGGAATTTCTTGATTTTGTTCTGAAATTCTAAGTTAAGAGGGTCGACTTTTAAAGCAAAAATTAAGTTTCCGGAAAGATCATCTAATTGCGGGTAAACGGCGGGAGTAACTAGTACCCTCAATCCTGTGCAAAGCTGGGTGCCCAAACTAATAATTTTACAAACTTTTATCTCTCCAACTCCTCCAACCCGATCTGACATTTTGTTATCATTTAGATAGTTTACATTTCGCTTTATAAAGGTTTACATCATCTGATTTTAAAGGACATAGGGTTTTTAGGTAGGGGTTTAGAGATCTAATGTGTGGATATTGATAATCTTGAAAGCTTGATCTCGATATCCAATGGAGGCACTTTTAATTTCAGGATCAATGCTTAATCCCTCAATCAAAAACTGCTTAAGATGGAGATCAATGTAATTGATCCAAAGATCCCGAACTATATATTTATATACATATTTGACTGTGATACTGTTCTCTAGTGTTATTGTTTTGTTGGCGTTAAACCAACTAGAGACAAACCGCAGAATAAAACAATTAATGAGCAAAAACTAGATAATGTTGGTCCAAATAATGGCTTCTCTTTCTCTCAACTCATTAATCCATGGTTTTTACAGAGGTTGTCATTTATACACTTTGCATTATTTTCACTAAAGGAAAAGGAGAACAGCAAGATAATTTTGAGACAATAATTTAATAAAGTAAAATATTCATCTGGAGGGTTTATGAAAGTATTTTTACACGACGTTCTATAAATAAATAAAACATTTTTTAACTTTCAGGTTATCTAAACTTTGATTTTAAAAAGTTATATACAGCTCTTAAAGTCCGAACTGCAAATCTGTAATTTAATCAAATCTTTTAAACTTTCAAGAAAAGCAAACTTTCAGAAAACTTCGAAAGAAAGTATTTGGGTAAAATATCATTAAAAATGTCATGAAAAAGTCATCTACTTTTTCTGGTTTCTAATCGCTTCAAATTGAATACTGCTGTGTAAATAAAGTTCAGAAATTCATATCTCCTATTTCTAAATGGGACTCTCTTCTTTCTAACAGACACACTCTCTTTGGTCAGTGTATAGCTGAAAGAGAGTGTGAAATTAAATTAAATTGAAATTAAATTGATTTTTTTACGATCTGATTCATGGATTGCAATTTTCTGAAATAGAAGTAAGATTAGTAGCGATCAAAAGCCTATACCCCCTTTAATTTTTAGCGAACACTCCCTTTAACTTCACGTCAAGCTAAAGTAAATTGCACGCAAGATAGAAATCTGTGTTTAATAATAATTTTGTCGGACACAACACAACTGAATTGACACTTGTGGCGTCAGAATACAACTGTACTGAGAGTGTACAAATTCTACGATGCCATGTCTATTGTACTAGAATCTATTTGAGTTGCAGTAACGTCGAAAAAAAGTCTACAGTGTGACTTGTGTTATGAGTTTAGGCTAAAGCAGCACCATGGCTTGAATTATTTTATGATATACCTACTTTGTATAGAGTGTTGGTATATTCATTATTTAAACTTATAACTTAAAGCATATAATTATTGAAACCTAGTCTTGCAAACCTACAAAATACAATAATTCATATTTATTATAAAAGAAATGTTAAAAAAGTTAAAAATTTTCAAGAGTAATATCTTTCATTATTCGGTTTAACCCACCTACTATAGAAAATTTAATTGTTATAGGAACTTAATATTGGAAACCTAAATTTAGGAAAACTTTTTTATTACTTTTATGTACTTTTTCTATCCTTTGGATCTGTTTCAAAAGTGAAAATTTGCCTGTTTAACAAATTGAATATTAAAATATCTGAAAAAAGTCTAAACATTTATTTTATATATGTAAATATATATACTACAGTGTGAATCAAAAAAAGGTGAATTCATATTTTTTCACTATTAGAAATTTTTTTTTAAGTCGTCTTTGTTCTGCCTTATGCTTGAGAAATTTGCAATTGTTAAAACTGGTATATCTTCATGCCTCTATGTAATGTGTATATAAAGATGTAATCTATGTTTGTCTGTTTGTTTTTCCGATCATAACTCAGGAACCTTTGGACCGATTTGCCTCAAATTTAGATTGGGGAACTCGGAAGAGCCACGGGAATGTTCTTTGCTTTGTTTTGAGATTTATAATTGAGTGGGTCTACTTTAATAGCGAAAATTTAGTTTCCTGGTAGAATCGTTCAAGCGCGGGTAAACGGCGGGACTAACTTATAGTAACCTTGGTAGCTCTGGGTTCCCAAGCCAGTATCTTCATAAATCTTTAGAAGAATTTCACCTTTTTTTTCTCACAATTCATTTTAAAAAATCACATAGCTGGTCCAATTTTGTAGGTAACTAATATTATTTTATTAGACAGACAAAATTTTCAAAATAAAACTTTTCTACAGCTAAAAGAATATTGTTAAAAAAAGAATCAACGAGCTATTGGCTAAAATAACAGTATGCTAAAAATGTAATATTGAAAGAAGTTTTTTTTTTAAATATTTTGATAATGAAGTTTACAATTACATAATGGTATTTACTCTGGTTGTGTTCTAGTTAGTTTAAACATTGATAAAGCGATTTAAAATTAATAGGATTTTTTTATCAGATTTAGAATGAAGTTTATCAAGCCGGTTTTAAATATATTTTTTTAATTCAAAATTAAAATTGTGGTTTCATTTAGTTTCAGCTCATCTCCCCATCCTAAAATAGTGCAGTGGTTGGTGATTATATCAATACAATAAAGACGATTTTTATTAATAATGCTTTGATCCCTATCAAGCATTTGTCAAATTACAAGTTTAGAAGTTAACAAAGCATGGTCCTTATTGAAAAAAACTGGTTAACAATGTATTGCATTATAGGAATTATTCTTTAAAAACAGAATTTTAATCAAATAATGCCAGAATGAGGAATAGTTGCAACATACCATACATACATAACATGAGTTCGGTTTCTATAATTTTAATTCTATCGCATTTGGCTTATAATTTAAAAATCTTTGAACTTACGGAGCTGTCATTTTTTTACAGTACTATTCTGTATTGTACTGTACTGTACTGTACTGTACTGTACTGTACTGTACTATACTGTACTGTACTGTACTGTACTGTAATGTACTGTTCTGTACTGTACTGTACTGTACCTGGTAGTCTGGCATGTGAGTAGAGCCCTGTACGCCTGCCTGTACTCACTGGACATGAGTACATAGATAATAGGATTAATACATGTACTCAGGTATATCAGGATATATCCTAGTATCGACAGAAGGTGGAGAGAGGGGTCACGGACCACCTGTAACAACAACAACAATAAAAACAACAATAACAACAAAAACAACAACAACAACAACAGCATAAACAACAACAACAACAACAATAACAACAACAACAACAACAACAACAACAACAACAACAACAACAACAACAACATCAACCATAGGAAATGTTCTTATTTAACATCTAAATTTACTAAGTGACAATCTTTGCACTTGATTGCCTTAATTTGGCCTGATTGGTTTAGCACCTGATCAACACTTTCGACATTGAACAGATTTAAACAAATCAAAAAACAACACTGATAAATACAATTGAATATTTTAGATTCATTGTTTAAGCAGGACAAATTAAAAGTGGGAGGATTTAATGTTTAATATCGACGAAAAATTCATGTTTGTTCATTCTTAAATGTACTGATTCAGCAAATAGATCAATCTATTTGCTGAATCTAATCCAAAAATTATCTGAAATAAGAATAAAGTTAACAAAGAAAATAATTGTTGTTTGAAAATCTCTGTTTGTCCGTTTGTGTGTCTAAGTTAATCTGGTACACGCATTTTTAAGTTTCATTGCTTCGAGTCCAGGCAAAGCGGGGTTTCAAAACTGGAATTTTTCTATTCCATCGTAATTGATATTGTCTGTTTTTACCTTAACCAGTGTGATAGGAAGATAGCAAACAAGAAAACTAATTTTAGAAATAATCAATAATGTATCATTAATATTGATTGGTTCCAATTGCGCAGATAATTGATCTGTAAATAAACATTTTTACATGACAAGTGAATATTTATAAGTAAAATGCTCGTTTATGCTTATTTGAAATTTTACATATTTATAATTATTTTGAAAATTGACTTATCATGAATTAATAAAATTGTAAGTCTTGATGGGTATTAAATTCTGATCACTACATCTTTGCAACCTAATGGTACAAATAATTAAATTTCAAAATTATCGATCATCTGCATTCCTGATGAAGATCACTAAAATCATCTTCAGAAGTCGTCGATCCTTTTGTGATAACTTCCCTGGACGTAGAGATCGCCGGCGAGTTCCATTTCTAACGAAAAATAAATATTTGCTTTCCAGAATTTCTCAGTTAATCCTTCAGTCATTATTTATCCCCTAATTTTCCCAATTACAAATAAACATTTATAATATTTGTTTGAAAATTAGGCGTTGCAAAGTTATACTGTATTTTGTAAACCATAAATTGAAGATTATAACACAAAAAATACCAAAAACATACAAATCTTACACATTAAATATGTAAATTTACATGAGGTGTCCCTAGAAACAATAGTTGATGCCAAAGCCCCTTTTCTGAGTTGATTTTCGTATTTATGACATGCAAATTGTCTATGTAAAAATTTTAAACTTTGAAAATCCTTTGACAACAGCCAATTTTATTAAAGAATAATTTTTTTCATCCTTCTTTATCGAAAAAAATACTGTAGTCTATGTAGAATTACTATCCAATTTTCTAAAAATGGTATTTTTCAAGCAACTCAGATTTGGATTTGGATTTCATCTAAACCAACTCATCACAATTTACAGGAAGAATTTGCCTCAAGAAATATCTATTATGAGGGTGATTGAAAAGTTACCTATCAAGGGTTCAACTTAAGTTAAAGGGACAAAAACAACGATCAGAGGCCGAATGTAAAGAATTTGAGCCGCGGCTCAAATATGGTTGGTTCCACTTAAAATCGTATTCAATGTTTTAAGATTGAAACCGGTTTTCGGCGGATTGGAGACGCGGCAATAATTTATTAAATTCGGTAATTTTTACCACCTGTTAAAGAAAAAGAAGTGAATCCAGTTGTAAAACAAAACATTCATATGATAATATAAAATTAGAATCATACATCTGTATACAACTAGAGATGGGCATCATTAAGTGAACGAACAAAATTTTTCAGAACGAACGAACCTTTTTGTGAATGATGGTGTCGTTCAAAAACAAACGATGGACAAACGACTTGGATCGTTTGAATAGATGGAATATGAACGATATTTTTCAGAACGAACGAAATTTTTTTTAACGATTGAAAAAAAGAACAAAATTGGTCGTTTCCGAACGATGAACGAACGAAATGAAAAAAACGAACGCCCCTATCTCTAACAATTATGGCCTAGAAATTGTCAGAATGAATTCGACACCCAGACCTGATAAATCCTGGGGTTATATTTGGTATTCTCAGGGAGAAGGATACACAAGACTCTCTTCTCAATCCTCTGCCAATATTCAGTTTTCCTTGAACCAAATTTAATCAAGTATATTTAATTCTAAACAAACTTAAAAAAAATATTTTTAATGGATGTTGACAACTTTAAGAACTTTACTATTTAAAATATATCTTTAGTCCAACAAGAGTATTAGATAGAAAATTCTAAAAATCTTCATTAAAATGGGTTCCAAAATTGAGTCTCCCTGACTTTTTATCAGGACTTATAATTAAACGTTAGACGTTGATTAAACACAAATTCTTGCGTGCGCCGGAACTTAGTTTATGTAATTCAACTTCTTGCTTTTCATTAAATTTGGTTCCTGGTTCATAGTATCCTTTATCTTTCTGTACTTCTAGTTTATCATGAGTTCCTCCTCCTGGTCCAAATACAATTTTACTATCTAGGCGAGTTCCTAATCCTGGTAAATTCAATTTGAAATCTTCTTTTTTTCCAAGAACTGTTAAACTTATTGATGTATGTTCTCCAGGATATTCTGGACATCCTCCTTTATGTGCATCAGGAATTCCTATACACCTTCCTTTACGTGCATCAGGAACTCCTGAACATCCTCCTTCATGTGCATCAGAAACTAGTGTACATACTCCTTTATTTTCCTCGGGAACTTCTGGAACTACTGCTTTATGTTCCTCAGGAACTCCAGTACATACTCCTTTATGTTCATCGGGAACTCCTGGAACTACTGCTTTATGTTCCTCAGAAAATCCTGGACCTGCTACTTTATGTTCACCAGGAACATCTGGACAAACTCCTTCATGTAGTACTTCCGAACCTACTCCTTTACATTCCTCAGCCCCTCGTAGATCTTGTCCGGAAATACAACCATGTTCATCTTCTTCTTCTAATAGTTTTTTACCCTTTTCTTCCCTCAAAATCAATACACCTGCTAGGTATTTGGTACAATATTAAAGAAACTGAGGCCAGATTTAATGATTTAACGTAGACGTGGTTCAGCCCTTTATCTTTTATTTGAACTACCACACAAGAGAATTGAACTACGACTGCACGGTTCAACTACGTCTCTCAGATATTATTACTTCCAGAGTAAACTTTACTCTAAGTAAATCTAAAGTTTGGACCAAAGTTTGAATTAACAAATTTAAAGATGTCAGTTAGAAATAGGGGAAAGTATGGATGTAATTTCTAGGTCCGATTCAGATCAGATATACGTGTTAGGGTACCGTTGTGATGAATGCCCATTATTTCTTAATAAAAGGTTGAAATTACAAATATAACATTCACTTTGAAAATTTGGGAATTTGGGAAAATGTTTTTTAATAATGTACGATACATCCCTTGTTTCTCTTGTTGTACATCAAAATCTGACAATCCATCTCGTTTTGTACAAACTCCACCCTCTAGCATAGAATGAAGTACACGTTCTTCATTTTCTCCATTTAATCCAGTTGATCTGTGGGGTACTGAAGGATCTATGTATCCTGGTACACAAAGATGAACTCCAAACTCTCCTATTTCATTCTCTTTAGTTATTTGAGGTTTCTCCAAACTGTTTCTAAAAAAGTATACAGTGATACCCATAAAATTGTGAAATTCGAATTTTAGTTTAAAATTATGATTTAAAAATTGTCCAATGAACATTTCGTCTATATAATCCATAGTTTCTTAACTGTATTTTGACATAAAAATATAACTAAAAATTAAATTTTCAATTTTTATTCTTAAATTTTTTTTTCTAGAATTTTTCTACATCGTAGATTCCTTTCACCTTTCTAAAAATGGCGATGGTGTTTGCAGTGATGACGTCATAGTGTCCTAAACAAACATTTGGAAGATTTGGAGATTTAAAGGATTCGAGGATTTGCAGAATTTGGTAAATTTTTAGAATTTGTAGGATTAGTAAAAAGGTTTTTTATGAAGCCAAAGTTATATTTTCTTGATTGATAGTGAAAGAACGAGGATGACAGTTATTTCATTATAGTTGTCTGTAATACGCATTATGAGCTAAGGAACTGGTTTTATTATAAACAATAACAAAGGTGATCTGCAGATTCATTAAATTCTTCTTCGATAACCCTGCAGGGAAAACTGTAATTGAGCGATTAAACATTTATCCTCAAATACAAAAGTGCGCACAATGGATCTCTCAGATCAAGTGATTAAAATTAACGATCTCTATACAAAAAAGTTTTTTTTTGTGACGTTAATACTGTCCATGTTTATCATGCAGGGTTACCCGCAAAGGTTGAGACTTCAAAGACGACTGTACGGAATTTTTACTGCACTAGCTTGAGTACCCAGTTTTGCCCAGGCTACTCATAGATACTCCCGCCTTAAACCGCACACGGTTTTAAATTACGAATTTATGTATTTTTCCCTAAAAAAGTCGATTCAGTCTTATAGGAACCTCAAAATCTTGGGATCGTCAAATTTGATGAGTTGCACGTCGTCTTTATAGTCTCATCTTTTGTTGATAACCTTGCATCTCAGACTTCCCAAGCGGCAAGCATGTGAAAAAGAGGTCACAAATCACAATTTTTTCTTCTCTCATTAAAAAAATATACTGTTTAATTTATTAACCTCACTTTAAAGTCCGTTAAAACAAAATCCAAAGTCTTTTAAGTTATTATAAAATGTTTTAATTTGAAAAGTAACTCAGAGTTTTGCTAGTTTCTGATATAATTGAGTCTTTGTTACTGTCACAAACCCAAATTTTCTTCAATATCCAATTCTTTATTAAATATTAAATATTAAATATCAAATATTTAAAGAAAAACTATATTTTTTGAGTCCTCCCTTAGTATAGTATAAACTAGGTGAATTGGCAGGTTCTACCGATATATTGGTCTACTAGACTTTTACTCAACATTGGCAGAGGGGAAAATGCAATTTTTCATAGAAAATAATTGAATTAAGTCGGATAAATCAATTTAAGGATGTTCAGATCTAAAAATATATTTTCTCTTTATTTCTAAAATAAAAAGTAAAAGCAATAATTGATAGAATTCATTTAAATCCTATCTATTTATAAATTTAGCTTGTCTGTCTTGGTGTTTGTTTGTATCCAATAAACGTCAAAACGGCTTAACCGTTTAGGCCCAAATTTTGTGTGGAACCTCACGTGACCCCAGGGAAGTTTTATGAATGATTAAAATTTTATTTGTGATAAAATTTTTTTTATTTTTGTAAAATTTAAAAAATGCGCGAAAAATTTTTATGAAATCCACAAACTTATTTGTTCTTGTTTGATACTGTACAAAGAGAAGATGCTTATAGATAAAGCCACAATGAAAAGAAGATGTGCGCGAAGCGCCCTAAAAGCCTAGTATTACAAATTAGCTAAACATAGTCGGATAATAATAAGTAATAAGATATTAATCTCTAAATAAAAAGTTAAATTTGTAAAATATTAAACGTAAATAAAGGTAATGCTTTAAATTAGAGCACTCAACTTTCATACTTACTCTAGTTAGATCTGAATTACCCTAAATTTTACCTTGCTTTTGCCAGACATTGAAGAAAGTAAAGATGAAGGCAGTGATGAGGAAAATTCATGCTTTTCTCTATTCACAATCTAAGTTTTGATAGAAAATTATTTACAACAACCAGCAATTACAAGAAAATTTGAAAAATGTTCATATTTATCTATCTATCATTTTGTCATATTGCATAAATTTTCAAAGATATTTCTATCTGTTAGAATAAAATATTGTTTAGGCGAAATCGAAACTTTTCATTGTATTTTACTAAGAATTAAAATTCACTTATAAAAGTAAAAAACGTCCGACATATTAAAGAAACCTATTATAATTTGCTACGTTTTTACTTTTTTGACCTCAGTGCCACATGTTTTTATATTTCTTTCTTAGAATACAAAAAAGAGAGTGCATCTTATCACACATTATATTAATAAATTAATCTTTCTTAAAATATATTAATATTCATTTTTACGTTTGACAAATATTGACATGTGACACATGTTATTACATCCATATTTTAAAGTTTTTTTTCAATAAATAAATAAATGTTAAATCTGTAGGATTAATAAAGAAATTAATAGACTATTTTTGATTTTTTCGAAACCAGACGTTTGACTGTTCTTCTCTCCATCATATGCATCAAAAAAGCCAAAAAAGTAATAAGTGTTTAAAGTTTAAAAGAGTTTTTTAGTGTATTGTAACTTGTAAGTAGGGTTTCCAGCGAAAAGTGAAAATTTCTTATTTTTTGGCATTTCGTTCACTCGCGAAAAACGCGAAATAATTTGCTTTTTCGCAAAATTTTGCTTTAATCTGTTGTGCAAAAAAATTTCTAATACTGAGCTTTCAGAAAATTTTACAAGTTTTTTGCGCAATTAATTGTTGCATCAATGGTTTTCGCGAAATTTCTCGAAAACAATTTTCGCTTAATTCATTTTCGTGTAAAAATGTTTCTACCTGAACATTGTTTACATCCTCCTGTTTGTATTCAATAACCTTGGACTCCTTCTTTTTCCCAGATTTTTTGGCAGCTTTGTGCGCAATCACAAATATTCTAAAATCAAAAATATTTTTTTTTATTTAAATTATTTAAAATTATGTTTTTGCTCACCCTTTCCTAGTAATAATATTAGCTTTTAAAAAATTCCGCAAAATTGGTACATTTTCAAAAATCGTTGAAGTCGATATTTTTCAGGCACAATTTTCAATTTTGACCAGTCATAATACTTTACTAGGATAATCTGAGTTGCCACAAAAATTCATATATTTTGAAGTTTCTTTGATGCAAACAAACAGACAGACAAGCCAAAAATATATATAAACAGAGAAAAAAAAATTCCATATTGACGTTTTAACCTTAATCTCTTTTTAAGAAGTTAATGTAATTTATTTATGACGTAATTTGAAGGAAATTATTTTATTAAAAGATTTTCCTATCAGATTATTTTGAAAAATCGATAATTTCCTTAAAAGATTTTTTTTAACAAGGTCGTAGATCCCGGATTTTTTTTAATTGAAAACAGATATTTAATTGATTTATATGAATGCTTATTTTTCAGTATACTTATTTATAAAACTAGATTTAATGAATGTGAGAGTATAGTTGAACTACGTAGACTCAGTTGAACCACGTCAGCTTGAACAAGCAAAAAGATTCGGTAAACAGAAACTCCAGCCCCTGCATCTTTGCCTTTGATGTTTAATATTTTAAACTATGAATTCTCAAAAGAGTGTACGTTTGAAATATCAGATGTTTCCCTATCAGGTTGCAAAGGTATAGGGAGTAGTACATTACAGTGAGTTGCAAGGGCTTAGTTTTCTAGAAAATTTCACCTAGAAGAGCTAAAAAACGTTATGAAAAAAAAGTGATTCTTTGTTTTGAGAATTATAGTGAATACTGGACTTCAAACATCTTATAAGCTTATCTTTTCTGAATATTAAAATCAAAAATTGTAATCATAAGAAGCACTTTTGGTTGAAACTACAGGTTAGAATGATAGAAGTTAATGTAAGTATTTAGAAACACTCAGTAATATAGAAATTGTTCTCTTTCTTTAGTAAATCCAAACTGTGCATTTCTGATGAATGTTTTTCTCATTGTAAGTGTTTATCATAACATATTTTTTCTAATTGATCCTTAAAATATTCTTATTCAGAAAATTAAAGAATTGATTTTGATAGTTTGGGATCGATCAAACATCATCTAATGCAGACTCTCGGATCAATTTAGAGAATTGATTTTGGTAGTTTGGGATCGATCAAACATCATCTAATACAGACTCACGGACCAATTTAGAGAATTGATTTTGGTAGTTTGGGATCGATCAAACATCATCTAATACAGACTCACGGATCAATTAAGAGAATTGATTTTGGTAGTTTGGGATCGATCAAAATCATCTAATGCAGACTCACGGATCAATTTAGAGCATTGATTTTGTTAGTTTGGAATCGATCAAACATCATCTAATGCAGACTCACGGATCAATTTAGAGAATTAATTTTGGTAGTTTGGGATCGATCAAACATCATCTAATGCAGACTCACGGATCAATCTAGAGAATTGATTTTGTTTGTTTGGAATCGATCAAACATCATCTAATGCAGAATCACGGATCAATTTAGAGAATTGATTTTGGTAGTTTGGGATCGATCAAACATCATCTAATGCAGACTCACGGACCATTTTAGAGAATTGATTTTGGTAGTTTGGGATCGATCAAACATCATCTAATACAGACTCACGGACCAATTTAGAGAATTGATTTTGGTAGTTTGGGATCGATCAAACATCATCTAATACAGACTCACGGATCAATTTAGAGAATTGATTTTGGGAGTTTGGGATCGATCAAACATCATCTAATGCAGACTCACGGATCAATTCAATCAATTCCTCTTCGATATCCCTGGTGGTAAATATCTGCAGGGAAAACATTGAAGAATCAAGCATTGATCTTAAAATTTAAAAGTTCCATCATTGACTATATCCATAATCTTGAAAGCTTGATCTCGTTATCTGATTAAATTTGAGAATCAGTTAAAGTTATCACTGCAGAGATTTTTGAAGACGAATTAAATGAATCTGTAGAGGTCTGCAAATTATGGAGATCAACGTTTAATACCATTCCGAGTTCTGAAGTCGGATAAAATTGACTATTTATGAAAAGTCATAAGTTAAGTCGATAAAAATTCGTCTATTCCAGAGTTTTCTGGTTCTCACTGTATTCTGATAAATATTGGCTGTGAGCATATTTGGTCTGTTTTCACCAGGTAGTATAGAATAGAAGGGAGATACAACTGACGCGGTCCGCCCTACCATGTGATTATACATGCTTTGCAGACGGTACTCCATTTGTAAAAGAAATATTCAGAATAGGTTGTTGTATATGCGGTAAATGTACATCAGACAAATATTTCTTATACAAATGGAGTATCCGTCCGCCAAGCATGTATAATCATATGAACCGCATCAGTTATATCTCCCTTCTATTCTATACTCCCTGGGTTCACTGAATAATTTCAATCTAACCTGGCGTAGCAGAGAATGATTGCTAGGCAAGGTGCCAGGAAAGCAAACACAAAAAGAAATTGTTTTGGCGATCTTCCATTTCTAAATAAACTAGGTTATATAACTTTGGTTAGGTGAAAAATAAATTATTTATGGCTTGTAAATAAAGCTGTCATAGACTATGATATGTAGTGTTACCCACAAAGGATGAAACTTCAGAGACGACTGTACGAAATGTATACTGTCTGTTTTCTTATATTCACGATTCTCTGGAACTGTAAGCTTGTGAGCCATTAAACGAGTATATGTTAGCCATTAAACGAGTATATGTAAGGCAGTAAACGAGTATATGTAAGGCAGTAAACGTAGTTTAGACTTGGGGTTGTCATATTATGTGAGTTATAGGTCATTTTTACAGTCATATTCTTTTTTGAGTAACCCTGTACATAAACCATGAAGTACTGTACATAAACCTGGTTTTGAATAATTGTACATAAACCTGTCATGAATTATTGTACGTTTATAAACATGTCATAAAGTCTTGTACATAAACCTGTGATGAATTATTGTACAAAAACCTGTCACGAAGTATCGTACATAAACCTATTATGAAGTATTGTACATAAACCAGTAATGAAGTATTGCACATAAACCTGTGATGAAGTATTGTACATAAACCTGTGATAAATTATTTTACAAAAATCTGTCATGAAGTATTGTACATAAACCTGTAATGAAGTATTGTGCATAAACCTGTTATGAAGTATTGTTCATAAACCTGTCATGAAGTATTGTACATAAACCTGTCAAGAAGTTTTGTACATAACCTGTCATGAAGAATTGTACATGAACCAATTCCCGGATCGAGTCCAAACTCCCCCCATACTGATGCAAGAGTGGGCACTAAACTTCCAAAACCTATTCAGTTAAGAACATTGTTGTTTTCCTAAAATTTGTTTTAAAAAGTTAACATTTTTCTTTTACAACAACTTTTCAAAAATATTACTCCGGGAAGTAATCAAATTGATGTTGTTAAGGACGAGATTTTAGTTTTTTTCTTGATTTTCCGACTCACAGATTCTTTTCTAATCCTAGAATAATATACCATGCATGGATTACTGTAGATTACTGGCTATGTCACTTCTTGGTAGATTTTAATGAGACTCTAAGTTAGGCTTCGTTCCATATGAGAATCTGCTGGTAAATATATAGGGTGCCCCATCAATAAACATAGGAACTCAGTGACGACTTTTATATCGTCTTCGGTCAATCTGGAATGTTTTCATGAAAGCAAATATTGCAGTATTCCGGCATAAACATCTGATATTGAAAAATTGACGGAGATATTGCAAAATTATACAAATATTTATTTATATAGTAAATCAATTGTTTTAATAAAAAATATATCGCAAATTATTAAGATACAACTTTATGAAAACCTCATCATCAAGTCGTTTCTCAATTCACATGTTTAATTGGACACCCTGTATCATCAAACGATCCTTAATTATAAAAGTATGGTTTTTTATTATGCAATAATTTTCATTGAATCCCACTAATATAAAAACTTCCTTTTTCTGGTCCAAGATTATAATGCAAGGAAAGGTATTTCAGAGGTGTGCGCATCTTTTGTACTGCAGTGTACTGTCTTTGGGCGGTAATGTAAACACAAGACGGATGTTGAAGCCTGACATGGGATCCATTCTTCACATAAAAAATCAATGAAACATTCTGGTCAAAGGAAACTATTATGTGAATTATCAAAATTATCAAAATTAAATGCTTTTATCCTCCTCGGATACTGAACAAACTTTGATGCATCTACTTTTGTTTACAAATTCCGCCAAGACAGAACTGGTTTCAAAATGTACGCAGAGTATACGCAACTGCAATCAACTTTCCTTATATAATAACCTTGTGATGGTTCATGTTGTCAAACTAGCTCTTTACAAAGAAATGTCATTTGCTCTCAGACAAAATAGAATTGTTGGAAAGTGAAACAATTTTAAAATTCAATGATAAAATTTTCGCCCTAAGTTTAGTATTGAATCTCTCTGGCTCTTAAATTTCCATTGATTATAAATTTTAAAGGGAGAGTTTGCGAAAAACGAAAGGGGGAGTTACATATAGGATGATATCGAATTGATCTTCGTTTTATATGATCCACATGTTACTTTTGAAAATATCCATTCCTGAAATTTCGAGGATTTTTGATATAAAGACGTCAATTTCATAAATTTTCATAAATTCTTTTTTTGAATATTATGAAATATCAGCTGTATACAATTTGACAATTGTAGGTAGTATTATCTGAATTAGTTTTTTTAGATTTTATTGAATTATTTACAATCTAAGTGGAATAATGCAACTTCGTGAATTTGTTTTGGGTCTAAAGTTCTTCGGTAGAGTCGTTTTTAACAATGTTCTCCTTAAAGACACAACAGATCGAAGTAAAATTAGTAGCGATCGATATCGAATTCAATTCGACGTCAACCTATACTCCCTTTCATTTTTCACTAACACTCCCTTTAAGAGTATCTAATAGTATATTTTAACTAACCTCCGATCCATGTTCCGATTACATGTAAAGGTAATAGCTGTTTACTATATAGCCTGTTAAATAAACATATTTTTAACAATTGGCGGGGTTTTTAAAAGTTAATGGCGGCCAATTAAAAACAAAATGGCGGGAACACAGATTCAGCGGCAAATCCAAGAAAATGACCGCAAAATGAAAAATGACGAATGAAAGATTACTTTTCAAATTGTTGGATTTATCTTGAAATATAATTAAATTGTCCATTCAGGGAAAAACTTTGAATTTGAATTTTAAATCCAACTTTCTTCTTGAATTCCTGAGTTACAAATCTTTTGAATAATTGATGATATTTATACACACATTTGCATTTGTAGACAAGAATGTATTCTAAAAAAAAAGTTTTGCATATTTTTTTTGAGATATTCCATTATTTTTTAACAATTATAGAAGGTTTCAAACAAATCTACGAAGTCTGACGCAATTTAAAAAACTCTCAAAGATGTTTTCTTCTGTGAAAGATTGAAATGTCTTCTAAAAAACATAAAAAGTAAATTTGAAATGTGAAGATGTCCCAGTAGTAGATCAATCTTTGGTAAATCCCAATTTAAATGCCAGGTCTAATAAGCTCTTCAATCGACTTAAAAGCAATTAAATTGTAGGTTTTATAAACTTTTTATATTCGACAAATTTTATTTGTGCAGATTATTGTTGTTATACTTATGAGCTATCTGTATCACCATAATAAATAAATAAATAAATAAATAAATAAATGTCTACCTGGGATAAAGTGTAGGATGAGCTATCATTATATATCTGTTGATAGTTATGGCTAAAATATTGAATATGGATACAGCCAGTAAACCGTATCTCAGAAAAGGGAACAGCTTAAAAATAACATATAGTTACTTTATTCTAGCTTGAATTGGTCATATTTCTATGCTTGTTTATAAGGCAATGATTTTAAAACACAATTTTACAGTTTTTAGCAACTTATAGTAAATTTACCCCTATAATAAATTTCTATATCCACTCCTGTTCAGCAATACTAAAAGGCATTCTAATTTACTTTAATACACTGTTTTTTAAACCACCGTTTCTTAACGATCTCAATATTATTAATGGCATTAACAGCAGATATTTTAGAAAACGTTATCGGTGTCAGATTAACGAACCGTTAACGATTATTTTATGTATAAATAGCTACAAACATTGAAAGATGATAATTATAAAAAATCAAAACCCATAAAATTTCTGTAATTCAACATATAAGCGATGGAAAAATCAGTTGATAGTAAAAACATCAAAATACACAATCTTATCTTTTCTTTCCGGCCAGTTTCATTCAATTTTAAGCAGAAAAAAAAGAACGAAAGTCGCCGCCCGCCGATATTTTAAAACACATCCATTACATTTTTTTCAAGTGTTAATTTGTTTGTTTTTTCAAACACGTCTTTTTCCGTTTGTTAAAAATTTAAAAATTTAATATTTATGCCGATTATTAACAAAGTCTTATGTTTATTTTTAAAATCTCCGTTTTGTTAACGGAACTTTTATTAACTACCTGACAACCAGCAATTACCTGACAAAGTTGAGGACCCATCACCCAGCGTCTACCTGAAAAAGCTGACTACCCCACACCCAGCAACTACCTGACAAAGCTGACTGCCCCACACCCAGCAACTACCTGACAAAGCTGACTGCCCCACACCTAGCAACTACCTGACAAAGCTGACTACCCCACACCCAGCAACTACCTGACAAAGCTGACTACCCCTCACCCAGAAACTACCTGACAAAACTGACTACCCCTCACCCAGCAACTACCTGACAAAGCTGACTGCCCCACACCTATCAACTACCTGACAAAGCTGACTGCCCCACACCTATCAACTACATGACAAAGCTGACTACCCCATACCTAGCAACTACCTGGCAAAGCTGACTACTCCACACCCAGCAACTTCCTGACAAAGCTGACTACCCTACAACCAGCAACTACCTGACAAAGCTGACTACCGCACACCCAGCAACTACCTGACAAAGCTGACTACCCCACAGCCAGCATCTACCTGACAAAGCTGACTACCCCACACCCAGCAACTACCTGACAAAGCTGACTACCCCACATCCAGCAACTACCTGACAAAGCTGACTACCCCACACCCAGCGTCTAGCTTGGAACACTGAAGCAGCTAGAGGAAGGTTAAAACTGCAGAAGAGTAGATCGGATACAGACAAGTTTATGATGAAAATAGCTGTTGTGTTTCGAACCTAAAAGAAAAACCTTTAACAGACTGGAGATGTGTTGTAGGTTTAGGGAAAGTTTCAAATAAATTAAAAAAGAAATACGCAGTGAAAATTCATTATATAAATATTTTCATTTTAAACCAATAATCAATTTTTAATGGTTTTTAAAAATTTTATTTAATGCTCGTAGCTTAAATATATTTTGATTAAATTCAAAAGTGCTCTATTATATTAAATTAGCGTTCTCAACTCAACCTTATGCAGTTCCCCTCTTCTCCAAGTCTATTTAGGGTCTAATAAAATATTTTATTTACTCAAAAGAATTGTTGAAATGTTGAAATGTTTAAAGCTACCATTTTTTGCATTAACAGAAGATTGGACACCTACAAAATATACTCCTAGGGAGTCATTAAAAAAAGTATATTTCTAAAATGTGGTAAAAGTCGATTACTACAAAAATGACAAGCACGTTTATGTTTCAGAAAGAAGAAAGATAACACGATATTTTCCACATTGTTACTCAGATAAAGAGCATGGTTAAGAATCGGAAATGCTATTCTTTTCCTGGAGGCTTTTTTGAACATACGTGTACAGTCCCTTTAAAGAATAGTTTTCCGAGCAAGAAATGTCTCAGTTTTTGCTACAAAATGTTTTCAAGTTTATTTCAAGTTTTCTACTAGAGACCTCTTCAGCCACAAAACCTTAAAAATCAAAGTTATAGCAACAAAGTTTTAGCAAAAATACAGCTTTGGCGAACTCGTCACGGTGGTTAAATCTGCAAACAGCGAGTTTGCCAAAATCAAAAGTCTATGAGGAAAATTTGCAATTTTTGTTTGGTGTGTATTTAAAAAATGTTTTTTTTGCAAACAATAAGTTATAACCTTTTCAATGGACAAAATAAAATTATTGTTTTAAATCCCCCATTTGTAATTACAGAAACCCCTGATCAACAGAACAACAAGGGTTGCAAAAATTATTGAGACTTTTTCCAATTACATCTGAAAAACTAAGGCTAAAAGTATAAGCTAGTTAGTCAGGTAAAATTTGCAGACCAACCATCCCAATCTGGATCTATGTGATTNCCCCCTGCTTCCACTATAGTTATGTTTATAAATTGAACAATGAGTTTAATTTATTAATTTATTCGAAAATCCAGAAATATGCAAATTCCTTTTAATTCATCATTCCATTTTTGTTTTAAATTGAAGACTATTTAGTATTTAAACTGAGAATGTAGGATTAAAAACTCAAGCTTTACGATTTTAAAATTTAAAAAAAAAATTTTATTGTTAATCGTGTATTAATAGAAATAAACAAGGATTTGTAAAGTGATCTTCTTATTAATAGCGATATGTAAAGTAGTAATCTTCTTATTTAAACTTTTGATTCTGATCCGGCAAGCTTTCGTCATACGTTTAAAAGATTTTATCTTTTTTAATGTGAGATATTACATAAAGGAATTGAGTCTTTGCCACAAACTATGATTTCACAATCCCTATATCTTTACAACCCTATGTCGTAGACCTTAGACATTTCAAACTATTAAATCTGTTAGATCAAATAATCTAATTTTGAAATATCAAAGGTACAATTAGGTTTTATAGATATAGGGATAAGAAAATTTGAGTTTGTGTCAAAAACTCAATTCCTTTGGGCCCTATCAGCGTTTGCCGTTTTAATGTTCATGTTTGACGCTAAACGTTATTATAAGTTTTAATCTACAGTTAAAATCTAAATGAGCCATACATCGAAAGATTTCGAACCTTTCGAACTTTATCAAAAGTTGTCTTGGCAATTTTTCAATGAGGTTTATACTATTTTAGGCAAATATAAGTTTTTGCGAAAATAAATAAAAAGCCATTAATATGCGGGAACAGTTTTAAAGAGCTCCATATAATCATTTAATTAAAAAACTAAATATCTGCAACATTCCATTATCAGAAAGGGAAGAATACGACATTTGACGAATTCTTTCGATGTATGGCTTATTTAGAGTTTAACTGTATTTTATAGAATATTATGTATTTTACTTCGGTTTTTTCATGTTTTTGCTCTAATTGTATCTTTTACTGTTGTTGTCCATAAATAATTACGCTATTGAGTTTTTTTTAAACGTGGGCTTTCCAAATATAAATAGAATTTCTTCTTTAACATTTTTATTTTAAACTGGTAATGCAAATGGTCAGAGCTGAAAACTTTAGAATTAAATATCCATAATCCCGATCGGTTAATTAATCTGGAGATTAATAACAAGAGGATAACAAGCATAGATCTCGATATCCACCATTCTAAAGTTTTTAGCTCAGGTAAAATAGTTATTTATATACCCGTTAAAAGTTTGAAACCAAATTAGTTTAAAGCCTTAAATTATCAATTGATCGATTCATACAAAAAACAGACAAACAAAATAATGTAAAAAACATTGAAAAAAAAATTTAACCATTCCATGACTTCGACAATGCGTATTTTTTGCAAATCAAGGCGGGCTGAAAATGATTTCCACTCTTGGTTTTAAATGCTCCATGGTTTCCACTCTTGATTTTAAATGCTCCATGGTTTCCACTCTTGACTTTAAATGTTCCCTGAGTTTACCTTCTTACACTTACAGAGAGCCAGTATTGTAACAATGTTGCCAGGCAATCCACAGACTAAAAAGTAATGGCTAGAGTTTGCGCGCGCGCGCGCAGGCCGAAAAAAATCTCTTTTATAAAATTCAATTAAGGTTAAATTTGTGCAAAAATCTTTTCATTGAGATATGTTCAAGCCTAAATATATTTGGGGGTAAAATTGCCCAAAAAACATCCTTATAAAGTTTTCATTCTTGACCTCATTGACCTGTCTGTATAGTTTTTGAATATTTAAATCAAAAGTTCTTTCGAGATTTTTTATTAATTGAATAAGTGAAATTAGCAATTTTTCAGAATAACTAACTTTACATCATTTTTCATCCAGTCTTGAAAATTGATGGAATTTGCGATGGCAGTCTAAATCTCTGTGTATGATTCTGTGTTTTTCTAGTTATATTTGCAGCATAAATTAAAACCCACCCAACAGTGGCAATAGTGAGGTTGGGGAAAATTAAAGTAAAATAAAGTTTCCAAATTATTACCTAGAAAGATTATACAGAAAGAAAATGCCATGTTTAACATCCAATCAGGATAATCCTAAAAATAGACAAGGTCCTTGATTCTCTTAGTTCCCTTGATTCTCTTAGTTCCCTTGATTCCCCCAGTTCCTTTGATTCTCTTAGTTCCCTTAATTCTCTTAGTTCCCTTGATTCTCTTAGTTCCCTTGATTCTCTTAGTTCCCTTGATTCTCTTAGTTCCCTTGATTCACTTAGTTCCCTTGATTCTCTTAGTTCCCTTGATTCTCTTAGTTCCCTTGATTCTCTTAGTTCCCTTGATTCTCTTAGTTCCCTTAATTCTCCTGGTTCCCTCAAAGGTCACAATGGTCTACTCTATAGTTCTTGTTTTCTTTTAGATAAGACAATTTTGGTTAGTTTTGATAGTGGACATATTGGATTGAAATATTAAGATTAATATTAGATCCGGAGAATTTATTGACTTCTCAGAACACATTTATAATTCGAGGAAAACTAGATATCTGTGTGTGTGGATTTTTAGGTTTCAATAAAATCCACGTATTTCTTCTAGATTAAACACAAGATTTGTTTAACAATATTAAACCCAGAATTAAGCTTCATAAAGATACAAACAACGAACTTTTAAATCCAATTCAGAAATTAAAAAGTCTTTCTTAATGGGCCAACCAATCAAAACAACCAACTCTGGTTAGGCGGGTCCAAACTACATAGTAAATTGTGATTTATTATTTGTATTATCTCTTGCTTTGTAGTTGAATAAAAATATGAATGAATGAGTAGTGCGATGAACAAGATTATCATTTAAGGTAATACAGTTTACCATATTTGGAAAATACACACGAAATAAATAAATTCATAGTAGCTGATCACTTTCTCATTTTTGTTGCTTTTTCTTCTGAAACTTGGATTTATTTTCAGAAAAATATTAGGTTTTCTTTTTATAAAATAACTTAATATGTGTTATCATTTTGAAAACAATCATGTTTTCCAAATTCAATTGTTTGCATTCTCATTTTGGATATTTCAATATATACCCCGTTACTGTCTGTATATTATATCCTAATTATATCCTAATTTCTATATTGACTTTCTTTCTCATTTTTCCCCTAATTTTGTCGGTCTCACTATCTTTGACAATCTATTCTGTGGCAAGATATTTATAACATTCTGATTATTTTATTATACCGTTCACAGAGTAATAAAAGCCTCTGAAATCAGGTTCTTCAGGGCCGGAGGAGTGGTCTTAACATGTCTTTTATATACCGGATATATAAACAGGAGAGTTATATACCGGATATATAAACAGGAGAGTTCGTTTGTTCGAATTCTGTCGTTCATCTTTTTGAATGGCCCATTTCGTCTATTAATTTGACTAAAAAGCAATTATTATCGAAGTTTAGCATATTTTGGTTTTAAAATATATTGTAATATTCATTGTTTTTAAAGAATATTTTTATTATTATTTTTTGATTATATGACCACTTTAATCCATTGTTTACTGGTTCAACAAAAACGTGAGATATTTTTTATCTTTTAGAAGTATCATTAATACAGTAAGAATTGTCTGTTTTTTATCACAACCCAGCTTTGCCTGTAAACTAGCTAAGAACATTTCAGCATTGTTCTACCAGGTTACCCAATCAAAATTTCAGACTAGATGGTTAAGGTGTGCATGAGTTATGATCGCCGGATCGGACTTACATACAAACTTACAATATAAATAAGGCTTGGAATTCCAGCTTTTAGAGGAAACTATACTTTCCCTCTAAAAGTAACCTGACCCTATATAAGAATCTTTAAACCAAGTTAAGAACATTTCCGTCGATCTAACAAGTTCAGCAAGCATAATTTAAGGCAAATCGTTCCAGGGGTTCGTGAGTTATGATTTTAGTAACATATTTAATCACTTATTAATTGTGAAATTGGTCTATTTACAATTACAGTGTCTCAAGTTAATTGGATTATTTGAAGTCAGAACTGAAGTCTAAAAGTCGTCTTTCTATTCCACATTTTTTTGGGCATTACTGTACAGTTCACACACAAAAGATTATTTTACCTGAAACATAGAAATATCCAGTTTGAGAATCCAGTCTGAAGTATTTTCAACGTTTCCAGACAGGTTTAATGAATGCTGTTCAGTCATTTTTTCTGAATAAATCTGAAAAAGAAGTAAAAATAAAACAATTATCTCTATCTCCCAATCTCACAACAAATTCGACCAATCTATTAGACGATTTGTTGTTCTTTCATTCCCATGTTTATTTCTGAAAAATACTTTTAAGTTCACCAAGGACCTGTCTTCACTAAAACATATTCAAATCTCAGGGATAATCTAAAAAATGAATTAATGAACGACCAGAATCAACAATTTCTTCCTCATTTTTTCGGCCGAGGTGACTCGAAATTCAGAATATAATAGAATAGAATAGAATAGAATAGAATAGAATAGAATAGAATAAAATAGAACAGAATAGAATTGAATAGAATTGAATAGAATAGAACTTATTTTGAAACGTTTTAAATTGAACTGCCATTAACTATTTAGAATTTCAGATTCACAACAGTACCCTGGACAACGTTATCAGATTAGTATTCGAATAACATATCCTTGTAGTATATTACTTTTTCAAAGCCGAATTTTTTTTTCAACAAAGTTGCGTATTTCTACTGAAGAAACATATTAAGGAAGTTATCAGAATTATTACTTTCAAGTTAAAAAAAAAGAGGATATTTTCCACATTTAGGTAAAGTTGTAATGAAGAGTTGTAAATCTCTTTATGAATGGTGGGCCGGCCACTCAAAATTACAAAGACAGAAAAACCCCGAGAAAAATTCACTTCATAAAAAATAATAACAAAATAAAAAAACTACTAAGCAGACAAGCTGAGACAGGAAAAACGTATCCACCCCCAAAGTAGTAGTTTTGAACGTCGAATTTGCCCTCAAACTCAGGATTTACAGATCTTTAAAAAGTTTAATATGTCTCAAATGAATCCGAAAGAAGTTTTGCACAACCCTGCATACTCAGTTCAACTATCTTACATAGCCGGTCACTCCCTTTAAAAAAAATAAGCAGAAAGTTGAAATAAAGAAAATAATCCAGTATTTGTCTTTTTGAACGTCAAATTTGCCCTGAAACTTAGGATTTACAGATCTTTAAATAGTTTAATATGTCTCAAATGAATCCGAAAGAAGTGTTCCACAACACTGCATACTCAGTTCAACTATCTTACATAGCCGGTCACTCCCTTTAAAAAAAATAAGCAGAAAGTTGAAATAAAGAAAATAATCCAGTATTTGTCTGAAACCAGGATGAAGTTGATTTATCTGAGTCTCCAAGCGAACTAAAGAAATATACCCTATCCAACCCAAATTCATCTTCAGCCTCTACAAGTACTTTTACTTTAACATATTAATATACCGGGGACCAATAAGATCAAAGGGGTTCACTAAGCATGATCATGATTCCGCTAGTATTATCTTTTAAAGGGACTGTAAACGGAATTATAAGTGACCTTCTATGCAGGCACTCGGCAGGCACCCTTGAAACCTTCATCTCTACTTTTTCTTCTTTGGACACATTTCTGAAAACCATCACTACATATTTGAGGGCTTTCACCTGGATGTGCGTACTGTTGTTGATTTTCTTTGGTTCGTTATAACTTGTAACAAAAAATTAATAAACCTCCCAGATTTCAAAACTGCAAAACACGTGTGTTTGATGTTTGGTCTTTTTTTTGAACAGTTTTCTGAAACCATATAGGAATAAACGACAGAAAACCATTTAGATGATTTAAGTTTCACAGAAATTGGTCTGAACTGCACATCTATGAAACCAAAATCTTACACACGGTCTCAGTGCGTTTTGAGAACTCCAAAGTCATTTAAGTAACAAAAACTGAAAAATTTTATTTTTCAACGTAAATATGTAATGAAAAATCATCCATTAAACTTTTTATTGTTTTTGAAAAGAATCGTTCCAATTAAACTCATGGACTAATTTAAATTCTGTTATCTAAAACATATGCAATAAATCAAAAAATGAAAACATTGCAAAAAAAAAATATTTGCCTTATGTTTTGAATCTGTGAAGAAATCATCATCATTGGAGTTCTATTTGAGACCCCCCTTAACTTTTTGTTGGAGACCTCCAGATTCTTGTTGGAGACCTCTATATTTCCATTGGAGACACCCAAATTTTCAATGGAGACTCCAGATTTTCGTTGGAGACCCCCAGATTATCGTTGGAGACCCCCCAGATTCTCATTGGAGACCCCCATGTTTTCGTTGAAGATCCCCAAAATTACGATGGAGATCCCAGATCTTCGTTGGAGACCCCCAGATTATCGTTGCAGACCCCCAGATTCTCATTGGAGACCCCCATATTCTCATGGGAGACCTCCATAATTACGATGGAGACCCCCAGATGATCATTAAAATTTTCAATTTTTAATCCAACGTGAATCTTGGGGTATTAAATTCCATCATGTTAAAAATATATATCTTAGAATTTCTTTTCTTGACATATTTAGGATGAATATGGATGAAAATTAGAAACTGAAAATCCTTTCTAAATATATTTGGACCTAAGGCTTATGTACTTTTGAATAAAATAAAATAAGAGGAGCTCCGAGGTTTAAAAATTAAATCCTTTCTCTGTTTCAAGATTGGTTGCTCTTCAGTAATCAAATTTTCTTGCTTGCACTAGCAATACTAGATTTCACTTAGAGTCTTAAATGTTACTTTTAGCTTAGAAAAAGTGAAAAATTAACAATAGTTGAAAAATTAACAAAATATTAAAATGAAGGCAACCAATTCAACATTGTTTAACTGTTCCATGAGGCCATACATTATCGAAATTAGACTTGGTGAACATCTTGAAGTTTTCTTCATCATGGCAACCTTCTTGGCCATAGTTAGCGTCCTAGCCTGGGTTCTCCACAACTACAAGAACAATCTGCCAGCACACAAGCTAACCATCAATGTGTTCCTCAACATCATGGTTGTAGACACTTTGGCAATCATGATGTACCTTGTGGTAATACATGCTATCAAACTTTGTTATAGAGAGAAACTATTGAAGTCAATCTTTAGTCCCATTTTCTTTTATAAACAGTTTAAATCAGAACTTCGAAGACACCAAAATAATTTATAAAATGTCGTTTTCTAAACCTAATGACAATTTTGAATCCTACAGATATTTAGGTTTTTAATTGAATAATTATTTGGAGCTCTTTAAAACTGTTCCCGCATATTTCATGGCTATATTTATTCATTTTTACAACCACTGAGATTTAGGTCTAATAATCGAAACCCATTGAACATTTTTGAAGACGACATTTTACAAATTCTTTCGATGTCTCCGAAGTTCTGGGTTTAAATGTAGTACTTTCTCAAATCAAAATAGTAGAAAGTCATGAAATAATTTTGAAAAAACCGAATGAGGACCCATATTTTATTTAATGTCATATTTTGAGCAATTCTATTTTGACACAATTATGCGATTAAGTGTGTACCAACTATGTGGAGAAGTATGCTGTTTCCTATTCCGCTGATGATCTGCAAGATGGCAAGATATGGTCTTATTCTTGGATCCTTCATCATCTTCAATCTTTTTCTCTTCATCTCATCCTTCAGACTCTTCTTGATTTTTCAGGTAAGCATTTTTATGGAAGACTGTGACACCCAAATGTTTATATTAAAATAATTTTTTTTTTAATCGTGTCAATCATGTTTTATAAAAATAATTTTTTTACCTAGAACGAGTGGATCATGTCCTTTGAGCAGGAAAAGATGGCTACCAGGTGCTTCTTAAGTTCCTTTTTCCTTGGTCTTCTCTTCAATTTACCTTTTCTTTGGCTTCATATAAGCAAAGGTAAAAAATAAGGACGAAATAAAACACCAATATAATTTTCATATATACATAGACTTATGGAAGAAAATGCATGTATATTTTAGACTCATATAAGAAAATATGTATACAAGTTTATATACGGCTTCATAGGATGCATGTATATTTTAGACTCATATAAGAAAAATATATAAAGTTTATATACGGCTGCATAGAATGCATGGCATATTATAGATGTATATTTTAGACTCATATAAGAAAATATGTATACAAGTTTATATACGGCTTCATAGGATGCATGTATATTTTAGACTCATATAAGAAAATATATACAAGTTTATATACGGCTTCATAGGATGCATGCATATTATAGACTCATATAAGAAAATATATACAAGTTTATATACGGCTTCATAGGATTCATGCATATTATAGACTCATATAAAAAAATATATAAAGTTTATATACGGCTGCATAGAATGCATGGCATATTATAGAGTATAGACTCATATCAGAAAATATGTATACAAGTTTAAATATGCGGCTTCAGGATGCATGCATATCATAGACTCATATTAGAAAATACGACTGCAAGTTTATATACACAAAAATTGAATAAGAATTGATACTTACTCTGCAGCTGTATATAAACTTGTATATATTTTCTAATTTGCATCTGTTCTATGCATGCATCCTATGCAGCCGTATATGTTTTCTTATATAAGTGTATGCTATGCATGCATCTAAACTTATATTTTATTCTAAAAGTCTATAACACTGTCATATATGCTTTATGGTGTATGATGCATTCTATGTTAACTGTTTAAAATTGTTTAAAGTTTAAAATTATTTAATATAAAAATAAAGTAGATATTCATTGAACCAATGCAATCATGCATGTCTATGCAAATAGTGAAACTCGTTTTAACTCCGATGGTCTCATATCATGCCTGGCCACATCGTAAAAACTGGGTTATGATCTTAACGACAAAGCAATCATTTAAAACCATATTTTTTAGAAACTGTGCACCTGATAGAATCATTCCCAAGTAACTGTATGCCTACTGCAGATACAGACTATGTTGTCTACATGAACATAATCCTTGTTGTCATGTACTTCTTTATCTTTATCATTAGCAACATTGTCATCAGATGCTCATTTCAAGTTGAAAATCAGGAGGCTTTTGGCGACTGTCTCAAGATCAAATCTATGACTGTTGGTTTTCTGTTTCTGGTCGGGTTTGCATCCGTTATATTCATATCCGGGCTCAAGTCTCCTAATCAAGCAGAACTTGTGCATTGC